TTACATTTGTTACATTTTTTTTCTACGAATCTATAATCTCACGGAGAAACGGGGAAAGGAAAATTTCTAGAAAAATTCAGCTTGATACCGTTAGAAGTTTCCGAGAAACGATACGCGAGAGTCGTGAAAGGTGTTGACAATCGTGATTACACGGTCGAATCGGTGAATCCACGAAATCCCGGTGTTCATCCCGTTAAAGGATGCGATTCGAAGTGACGTGCACGAACGGGGACGAACGAAAGGCGGGAGAACCGGTTTAAGCCGAAAGTCAGCTCCAGATCTCCTCTAGTTCCTACGGTAGAATACGACTTCTAGTTCTATATAGGGGAGATAAGGATGAACTAGCGCGGATCAGTCGCTTGGAACAAGAATCTCCACAGTCATCAATACCATAAAAGAAAATGTCAATGCACTTTCATCTCCTTTATCTTTGACGCGAAGAAAATCTAATTTGAAGTTGATGCAGCAGAATACGATTATTTTTATTAGACGATGCAGGATGAACGATTCAAAGATTACCGAATGAAAAATTGTCATGAAATTCTATTCCATTTAATGAACGTTCGTTAAAGAACGAGGAAATCCCCATGTTAATTTTAATCGCCTCTGCATGATAGATTTGCATACATTTCTTGGTGAGTCAGAACAAAGTGGTCGGCTGAGTAAAAACACGTTGCGATCAAAGATTCTCGTGACCGCCGACGTTCATGAACTTCGGGACGATGGTATTTTCGAAAGACTGACCTGACCCATCCATTAAAAGCTGTTACTGGAACGAGGCCTCCGCTAATTGTTCCCACAGACATCGAGCCGCGTTCAAGACACAGAATCACCGGAGCAACAAAGACACGTTAGACGACTAGGTTCAACGTGATCGTGACTCGAATCGAAGACAATCTGAGCCTGTCCGATCAACCGGTGGAAGTCTCCAAGAGTCATCGACTTTTCGAGTCCGAGAGCACGATAATAACGAAAGGAACGATTCTAGTTCACGGCTGAACAATCTCGTTAAACGACAACTCGATCTTCTAAACAAATATCCTTTGTCCTTCTGGCATCGTAATTTGTTAAACGCGGAAGCACTTACGTAAGTCAGCCGGTAAATGAAATTTCAAATTTCATCCGGGAATTAAAATTTCACCTTCGGTTAAATATTTCTTTTCGTCCGCCGACGAGACTTTCTCACGATCACTATTTCACCGAAAAAACTTGGATTGTTCTACACTATATCTTCTTCGACATTTCACCATTCAATTTACCAATGGTGTTCGCGTATTGATATTAAGAAAAGTAACAAGCAAATCACTGATCATCGCTCGCGGATACATGTATCTTGTCTCCCGAGGCAACTTACTCTTCTTCGTGCTCGTCGTCTACCCGGCTGATGGGATTCACGTTGAGCGTGTACACGTGGGTCTATCTGACGCCGAAAAAAGCCATGTTACGGCCTCGCAGCATCCGCCACGGCATGACAGAAACCGTAACCCGTAAGATGACGACAGAAACGTGGAAAGGCCCACGGAATACACCGCACTGGCACCGACCGCGGTCGTGTTGCGAGCAGGATGTCGGAGCAGCGACTGAACGAGACGAGCTGGCTAGTAGCAGTCAGACAGTCGGGCAAGCAGTTGTCGGGCAACAAGCAGTCAAGCTAGAACCAGCCTGATCGGCTTGCCGGGGTATACTAAAGCTTTTCAAGCGACGAGGCAGAAACTTTTCGTTCAGATACGATGGAAATGAGTCGATACGCAGGCTTCACTCTCTGCTCCTGACCTCGGCTACTTTCGACAGCTTTCGATTCGGAGGATTCTTTTGCTTCTCCTTTTCTGACTATGACGCGTATGATCATCGATGCTAGCTGAATTCTTTAACATTTTTAGAGGCATGTGCGCGACTCTTAAAGTGGGGATGTGAAAAATTATGTAAGAACCTGTGGTAGGCATTGCTTAAACGAGTTTCCTGCTAAATATTTTTTAATACGACCAGAAACTTGCGAGATATTATGTTGCCAAAGTATTCGTGGCGAGGTTCGTGCGCGGGTTCCGTGACAAGAAGTGAACTGTAAAATTGTTTTATTTCTATATAGAACAGACATTGAATTGTTTAATCTCGTCGAGGTAGCTTCTATTTTTAATGGATGGTCGGTTGTCGATATAGACGTGATTAATTAAATTTTGGAGCAAACGGTACGGTCGAACACATACAGGGTCTAAATTTAGAACTCGTGACCCTCTAAAAGTACTCTTATCTGTAGCACGTTATACACCTTGAGACGGTGACATCTTTAGAAGAAAAATGAACAAAATTTTTCACAGGAATCGCGACAGCTAAGAGATACACTGTCAACTTGCACCTTTTTTCATATAGAGCGTACTGTCTATATCGCTGTCTATAGCGTACACTATAGCAAACATATAGGAATAACTTTATCAAAGATAAAGTAGTCTTATCGTTCTTGGTATCGTCAGAGTGATTCCAAATACGAAATTAAAACCTTATTGCTCGCGTATCTATTGTCATGTAAATACGATACATTCTGTACCACGCGCCTTCGATTGTCGGCAAACGGGACGTTTGTTTACTCTCGATGAGCGCCAAGAGAGGACATGTGTATATGAGTATATCTGGTTAACGTATTGTGTAACTAGATGCGTAAAATAAATTATGTATGTAGCCAACGCCTACGCGGTCGTCGCGTGCTAGAAAGTAGCACACAACGAACAGTACTAAGCGCCGACTAGTAAGAACAGTCGAAGCTGACACACTATAGCATCGTGTCCGTAAAGCAGGAACTTCCGTCGAAATAGAAGCGAATTGAACTACCTTTACGCTTCGTGAATTTTATATTATCTTCCATTCGCCATG